GTTATTCCATTCACACTTCAAACTGCCGTTCACTTCCCAACAAAATTATGCATCTCCAGTCTCTCTTATCATCTGATACTTATCACAATACGGCGATTGTTGCATTACAAGAAACATGGCTCCATGAACTCTATGATGACAATCTGGTTTCCCTAAATGGTTTTACATTGTTTAGACAAGATCGACTATGCTCCAGAAAGAAAACAGGTGGAGGTGTTGCAACTTTCATTCATTCTCAATGGTCAACTTCAAATAATGTATGTTTTTCTTACTCTAATGACTTTATTGATTGTATAACGGTCAAATGCCGCCCGAAACACTTATCCAAATTCAAATACGTCTTCATCTCTAACATTTATGTTACTCCTGGCTGTTCTGCATCTGATCTATCTGATTTTGCTGATGAATTCACTGAATTTGCCGTTACACATCTTGAAAACTCTTTATCAGTTGTCACAGGAGATTTTAACTGCTGTGATTGTTCTTTCCTCGTATCATTAGGTCATGCCAATATTGTTAAATTCCCTACTCGACTTGATAAAACCCTTGACCTGGTGTTCATTAATGATGAGGAAATATATGAAGTACGCCAACGTGCTCCTATCATGAACTCGGATCATTGTATTATTCGGATATTACCTAAGATATACAGCAGATCTCACTTTAATATCTTCTCAAATCTGTCCAAGAGAACACAGCAAAGGTGTTACTCACAAGAAAATATGCTCAAACTAAGATGTATGCTAAATGACACTAAATGGGAACTTTTCAACGAACACAAACTGGATGATACTATTTCCAATTTGACTGACTATCTTAAATTCTGTCTTGATATATGCTGTCCAAAACAGATAATTTTTAAAAGAATGGATCGTTTTTCTTCCCCTCATCTCAAAAAACTTCGTAGAGAAAAAGAGAAGCTGTACAAGACAAAGAATAAATCTGGTCTTAAGAACATAAACACCCAAATTAAATCTGAAATCAAGAGACTAAACAACATTTATAATCAAACAATACTATCTTGTAAAACCTCTGAAAACATATGGAAGCTGTTTAGAGAAATTACTGGTTGTGGTAAGCATAATAATTTTGCCTCTTTTATTGATGTAAATACTCTCAATAGATCTTTCATCCGCCCTCCAAATGTCCTTTCTGCCTTCAATTTAACTAATAACACGACCAGTGACTTTCATCGTTTCAATACTTCTGATGTTCTTAAATGTTTGAAATCTCTTAAACCTTCCCAGAGTTTAGGCCCTGATGGTATACCTGCCATTGTTTTAAAGAAATGTGCTGATATTTTAAGTAACCCACTTACAAGCATTCTCAATACTTCTTTTTCTAATAATAATGTACCTTCTCTGTGGAAAGATATTAAAATCATCCCTGTACCCAAGTCTGGTTCTGGAGATAGTGTTAAGTTTAGACCAATTGCCATTACCTCTCCTTTCTTGAAACTGATGGAGAAATTACTCTTACAAAAACTCATTCCCTCCCTAAGCTTCTCAAATGATCCAAAGCAGTTTGCTTACAAACAGGGTAGAAGTACTTTGGATGCTGCTGCTGTGTTTCATCACAACATTGTATCCTCCTTAGACAAAGGGGCCAAGTATGTCCGTTGTACTTTCCTTGATTACACATCTGCTTTTGACTCTGTACCTAGAGGCCTTTTGTTAAACAAGCTTAGCCTTACACAAACTGAGTCCTGGGCTATCAACTGGCTGCACTCTTACTTCTCCAATAGGATGCAGTACACGGTATATAATGGTGTAGCTTCCTCTCCTTTGCTTACTGAAGCTGGTGTTCCTCAGGGTGCTGTTCTCTCGCCGTTTCTCTTTTCCTTCTTCTTACATGACTTACCTCTCTCAGACGAAATCAACTTCGTCAAATATGCAGATGACCTGACTGTTTCGCTTCCCGTTAAGTCTCAGTCAGACTGCTTCAAATTAAATAGCTTCCTGTCGGACATCAGTCAGTGGTCTAAAATAAATGGCCTAACGCTGAATCCCTCAAAATGCCAGACTGTCGACTTCTCCTTTAGGCATAAACGAGATCTACAAACACTAGTAAGCACTCATGATGTCTGTAGAATCGAGGGGACTATAATTGAAACAAAGTCTAATGCAAAATACCTCGGATTAGTTATATCTTCCGACCTTACTTGGTCATCTCATATCCAAATGATTTCCAAGAAAGTGTTTCGTCTAACCTACTACATTAAGAAACTCAGACTAACTGGAGTCCCTCAACCTCTGCTTACACAATTTGTCAACTCTCGTATCCTACCTATTCTACTTTACTGTTCCCCGTTAGTCTTTCCTGGGTTACTGAAAAAGGATTATACCATCCTGAGAAGGATGTTGAAGGTAGTTAGCAGGACTAGCGGTGTAAAACTCAGTCAGCTCGTCACAACATTAGTGGATAAGCATCTGAATACATGTGAGAAATGGTCTAAAACCATACTCTCTGACCCCCAACACCCCCTCTATTCCCAACTCTCTCCCTGCATCTCATCAGGTAGAACCAGAAATCAGTATAAAATAATATATGCTCGCACAACCAAGTATAGGAACTCAACGATACCATATTTGGCCCGTGTTCTAAGTGACAGAGACAATGTTAGGCGTGAAACCTATGACTTGCTTTGTTGTTAATAACATAATTTTGGCCCTTGTTTTTTCCCCCTTACACTCTCTTATTTGTACTCTATAGTGAACAACCTTCTTAAACATACTTAGCTGCTTAAAATTATTATCATTGGCTTACATTTTTATTCTTTATTCTATTCCTTCTTTGTTTATCTACTGGGTCCGACTATATTATCACTATGATTATTAAAAATTGTCCCGTCATTAACCATCATGTAACATTAGTTTTGTGGTTGTTCTTTGTTCGGCACTATTTAACTGACAATCTTGTTTGTTATTGCCACTATCACCATCTTAAAAATTTTGAATTATGCATGATTCCTCACACTGCCACTACAAACAACCGCATTAGTACTGCCAAAAAAAAAACACCTGAAATGTTTATCTTATGATTGCTTAGTGTTGTTCAATCAAATTAACTGATCATCTTGGCTATAAACAATTTTTTAAGAACATCTCATAATTTCCCGTATGATTATAGCTGTTACTGTTCACCACGCATACACATATCGTAGCTTCCACTAACTAATACTGAAATATTTTTTTTCATTATTTGTGTTGATCTTCTTTTTTACTCAGTATTTTTATTTGCATTTTTTTTGGTTATTTCTGTTTCTTTTTTTTTTTGGTTTTTTTTATATATTTTATTTTTTTTATAATACTCCTTTTAAATGTACGATGAAATTAGATGCAATATTGTAGATATGTGCTGAAAATTCCACACTGTACCACAAGTACTGTTTCTGGAATAAAGCGAAATTGTTATGTTATGTTATGTTAGACTCATAGGCACTGATTCGACCTCACTCCACAATATGCACTCATCTATATATATACTAATTGTTTCTCCCACTCGCCTGTTACATGAATTCCACCGCTTACTTCGAACTAGTCTTGGTTGATATCTATGGGTAGCGATAGAACCGGGTCAGTATCTCACATGGCTTACATCCTATCTTCTTTACGCCAAGAAACATCCTCGTTCAACTCTGATAAAATAGAGTTGTTGGCAAATTCAATCTCAGTGACCACAAACCTATCTTTCCTATGTGAGACGATTCTATCTCGCATCTGTCTCCACTTGTCTGACACTTCACTTGTGACAAACCCCTGAAACTCCTACTCCTGTCACCCAATTTTAGGTAGTACAAGGAGAAGGCCTTCGCCAACAGCGGTCACAATCAAAATCGAAAAGTAAGACAGCTTACACCATTTCCAGAGTGCTTGTCTACCTGTCCCACTATTTGTGTGCTGTAAACGTTGATAAGATGCCTACCCAAATCTGATTGTCTGATCCGCCTGATTGAAACAGCATAGCACTCGCTTAGTGGCTAACATCATGTTCACTTAAATGACAGTAATCACATTCTCCGACTAGTCGCTGCATACAACAATACTCAACACATATCATGTCTGTCTGCTTTCGACATAGAACTTTGCACCGATGTCCAGCAGTTCAAGTCGTCACACTCCATGTACCACACAAAGCAAGATAAGAAAGTAAACTGTATAATAATACTGTTAACAGAATAAACTGTTTTGGATTCCAGTCACTTGTGCGATGTTTTGTTTTGACCGCTCTTTTCTAGCTTAACCCTATGTCGGTTGAGACTGTCCCTCGAGAAAAACGCTGGTAAATCCTACGTAACACATGTTCTAACAAGTCACTGGATGTACCTCCATAGGATTGTCGATGGATTTCTTATTGTCACCTAGCAATCGACGCCTAACCGCAATATTCCTCACCTGATTACAGCGCTTCAGACAGGAGATGACTATTGTGTCAACCATTGCAAAACTTAATCGATATTAAATCAAGCAGATATACGAAATCAAACTTATCACGGTGGACCAAGCTAACACACAATCATCCACAAATACACTGCTGCTTCCCATGTTAACAGCCTGTCGTGAGACACTTATATACAAACCGCGTGACAACAAATACCTTTCCCTCCCACGTAGTTTTCGAATCAAACTCCAGCTGCCTTTTAACTATTGTTTGTCTACACTTGACACGCATAACGCTTTTTTTCATCACTAACTACGAAATAGCTTTACAATAGACAAAGGAAATCGCTCAGACAGTAATAAGGTTCCATCAAGGGTACGAGCGTGTTGAACGCTCGATCGTGCGATCAATCTTAGAACCGACTGGGTTTCTACACGACATTCGATTTGAGATAGACAATCCTTATTTGGACAGGTACATAAATCCGCGGGTTAATATACGCACATTCACAACAACTGATACTGCCGCCTTCAGACTACTACCTATTCTGTACCGGGTTGTATAGAAGTGTTGCGAAAATATGCAATTTTTTATTCAGTTATCTGTACAGAAATGCGCAGTTAGTCGCTGTCGTCCGAGGATACCTCATCAGCGTCCGCTTCTTGTCTGAAAAGAAAAACAACTGGATATACTACAACGGGAATAAGTGAATAGGACTATCAGAATATTACGTCATCAGTAGACAGACATGCTTGATCATCATAACCAAGACTTTTTTTGACTTACCTTACAATTTCGTCACTACTTGTATCGCCGGATTCGGAAGGTTCTGGAACTTTTACTTCTAGCCTACAGAGGATATCGATTACAGTCAGTGCACTTACGTTGAGTTTTCTGCTGACTCTTCCACTATCTTCGCCCTCTTAGAGTTCTGATTCAATCTGAAACAGTAGAAAAGGATAGTGATATTGACAACTTACCCAATGGAGTTTGGAGTACTCATCGCTTCACCAGGTTTGGCAAACTTTTTCAACAACCCTTGAGCAACAAGTTTCTTTCGCTCCACAGCCACAGGACCACGACCCATTGTCGAGGGTAAAGATCACGTTCCATTATAACTCTTTTCAATTTAGCAACCAACCCATGGTCACACGTTGCAATGGTAGCCGTAGTCATCATCGCGATAGCTATTAGATAATAATAATAATGTCAGTCCAATTAGACTTACCAAGGGCTACAGCTTCGCCTTTGGTGGTCATCAAGACTATTTCGTCATTAATATTAATGTCGTTGTCATAGCGAAGGACGCCAGGCAACATTAGTTTTGCGCCAAAGCAAATGGCACACACCTTTGGTGATCATTGATCAAGGCATAGGAAACAAAACTTACAGCTGTATCCTTGAGCATTATACGCTTGTGTTTGATGAGCAGCTTCTCGAGTGGCATTATGACACGACGTAGATAAGTCTCATCACGCCTGTTGTCATAAAGCCATTTAGCGTCTAAAACATCATGCATTGTAACTAAATTGTCCTACAACATTTAAACAGACAATATTGCATGTACATACTGATTCTGATATGAAACCACTCCGTATCCGCCTTAGCTCTTCCATTACACCTCCGCAACCGAGCAGGAGCCCGATATGTACGCACAGAGTTCGAATATATGTTCCAGCCTCACATCTTACCTTCACCAGTCCTAAGCATAAGGAGGCATGAGATCTCGGGCACTTACCTAAACATTCTTCCTTGTTGTACTCCAATAACTTGCACTCATAAATTGTACGAACTCTAAGTTGACGCTTGACCGCCGCAACAAGTGGAGGCCGTTGGAATAAAGCTCCTGTCAGACTCTCCACAGCCTAAAAGGGTTTAGAGGCGCGTTAAGTAAATTACATAAGACAGAAGTGCACAAAAAAACAGAGAAAACAGTTGGATCACTTACTTTCTGTATACGCTTCACATCATCCACAGACTTGTGTAGTCGGAATACACATACATATTCTTTACCAGCAGTCTGCTGAGACTTGACCAGACGAGTGGCACGGTCAATACAGACCATAAGGCAACCTGAGACTTTAGGATCCAGTGTGCCACTGTGACCAGTTTTACTGACTCCCAGAGCTCTTTTAACCCATGCAACCACTTCGTGTGAGGATGGATTGCATGGTTTGTCAAGGTTTATGACTCCACTCCTTGAAATTAGAGTTGGTGATACATTGGGCTTACTTGATGTATTCATCTAAGGGTCTGTGTAGAGGTGAGTATCCTGTGGTATCTGCCTCAAAATGGCATTCTCGGACATTCATCAGATGAACATTCTATTACATTACAACATGAGCTTTCACTCAGTTACCTTCAACAATAGCGGCCATTGACTACAATCAAGTTTAGGCTCCTTCTTCTCCGAAACAACTGCAAATGGTTGGGATGCTTGGATTGCCTATAACAACTTGATAAACATTCAAAGGACTGGAATATTACCCCAACACTACCAACAGAATGCCTGTTTTTTTTCTTTCCTCCTGCCATGCGGTAGGAACAAATACGCCGTCAAGGTCCACCGGATTTTCGAATGTATTCAAACAAAGTGAATGAATCAATGCCTTTCAGAGTGTACGCTGCTGTTTCGACTGATTTTTAAATTACTCACAGCAGTTGTTTCTTTCTCTCTCATTATTTGTCACTCATCTTTGGTAAAAACAATATTCTTTGCAACCAACTAAGAGACACACACGAGTCATCTGAAGACAACTGAAGCCTCACTATGTACTACAGTCTTCTGAATCGAATGCATTTCTGTATGTTTGATTGCGTGTATTGCATCCTTAGAGTTGCCTCTTCATTGTGAGAGTTGGCCGCAGGTCTTCAGGGTTTTTCAATGCACGTCTAACCACTGCCTGCCACACTTACGTAAAAAAGATACATGAGTGAATATCAGTAAGTTTGAGCATTGTGGATTAGATCGAATAAAGTACGATTATATCTCAGTTGTTTACACAAAATGACAAGTTTTGTTATTGACAATATTTCGAGCCAAATTATTGCCCGTGTTTACACCACTGTTGGAATTGTCTTATTCGTTATTGGTAATTTTGCTCGAAATATTACCAATAACAAAACTTATCGTTGTGTGTAAACTATTGAAATATAATTATACTTTATTCGACACATGAGTATTTGGGTTAATCGACATTTTCACTATGTTTTCATCACCCATACTCACCCACAGGCCTCTTCATGGTTTACTTTAAGGCGGAGGAACTATTTCCCGTGGAAGTCGGTTTCTTGAGCTAATCACGGGGAGAGCCTGTGCTCCTCAGAGATATATCTCGTTCTCCTCCAGCGCTTTCATGTTGCGTATTCCGTCTGTTAGCTAGAGGAGACTGGGATGAAGCCAGGGATAAGAACCGTCTACTCGACGTTGTCTTCACAGACCTTAGTAAAGCATTCGATTAGGTATCCCATTTAAGTCATCACAGTTAACTTAAACGTTTTCGATTAGACCAACGCCTATGTGAGTGGTTTAGCCACTATGGATAGAAGACAGAAGGTGAGGGTTAATGGTGTGCTGTAAGGGTAGAAAGCAGTAATGAGTGGAATACATCAAGGAGCTGCTTGGCTTCCTGCTATTCCTATTATACGCAAATCAACTACCGAAAATCCTTACCTCATCTTCCTTATTATTTACGGACTATAATAGGATATGGAAAACCGTAAATAGTAACAATGATAGGTTGGTACTACAAAACGATCTAAGTAAATTAGCTGAATGGGCTAATCTGTGGAGTCTGGAAATCAAATCCAAGAAAAGCGTGGTAATGAACCTAGGTCAGAGGACTTACACGTCGCACTCTCTGGGAGATACAGGACTGCCAGACTTTAGGGGAAAAAAGGACTTAGGAATTATTGTAAGCCACGACTTAAAAACAATGGCTAACTGTAATCCAGTCGAATGCTGTGGGCACTTCGAAGTGCTCCCAAACGATTATACGAGGGTATGTTCCAAGTACTCTATGCAACATATGTCAGATCTCATTTAGAGGCATACATCCTAGAAGGAGCATAAAGGGTAGGAACCAAATTAGTTCGTGGTATCTCATACCTTCCTTATGATAAGAGGATGGAGCATTTCAGTCTCTTCCCATTGTCATACCAAAGGAGGAGGGGTAACTTAATTTTGGCATGCCGTACATTGACGGGTGACTTAGGGATTGACATTTCAAACCTTTCCTCTCCCTATAGGATACATTTACAAGGTCACCACAAGAAGGTGCTCAAACCGAGGTCAAATAAAATACGTGTGGAATTTAATTCTCTCACAGAATAATCAACGACTGGAACTCCCGACCCGATTCAGTAGAAACAGCTCCATCGGTGAACGCTTTCATAGGGAAATTAGATCTATTCAGATATATATATATCACAAGGATTAACATAGGCAACAAGAGCCTTGTCAGCTACCGTCTCATAAACCGTTAATGCCCAGCTCTCGCTACGCTCGGGCCCACGCTGTTCCTTGAAGATTTTCGAAACGCTTAGTTATAACGGACGAAAAACCAGAACACCAATTGTTGACTTGAGTATTATGTATTGTTACACCAGCATATAAATCAAGTATCACTAAGCAAACTAAGAAAACTAAGGTCTGTAAACAAATATTACAATAATAAATCGTTATGTTACTTCTAACGATGTTTAACTCTTCTTTCTGAACAGCGACCGATGAGACGATGACTGTCGTATTGATGCCTCCGCGAAAATCGAGGAAGTTGATTTTGAGCAAACAACCAAGAATTGATCGTTCAATCTTCAACTCCATTGACACTCCCCGGCAAAAAAGGGATCCAACCCTTTTTTCCTTCACAACCAATGCACGTTGACTTGGGTGCCATTGCGAGAACCTGGGTCACACGGACAGAGCTGAAATGGAAAACAAACAGAAAAGCCAACACACCACAAGCATACCCACAGCACAATCTCACACATCAATGACGACCTGCGCCTCCAGACAGAGACCTCCTCTTGACATCTTGCAACACAATCGCCACTTACTAGAATGACTCTTGCAGAATGCAACGTGACCATAGCAGCACCTCATGATACTCTTCAAGCAACCTCTTTTCTATTCACTATCAATTATCACTGAAATCGCTTGTCACTCATTCTGCCTCAGTTCTAGTAGCGGTGACGCATGCGAGCCTCAGTCGTTTACACTCTTTCTCCCCGGCGTGTCGGACCGCAGCTAACAATTATCTCCGTGTGCATTTCATTCTCAGCAATAGCCTAGCCTCCCCGGCGTATACGATCCATCTGCTGTCCTTAACATCAATCAATTCATTCATGGATGTAGAAGACTCGAAACAACTTCAGAAATAATCACGACGAAAATTTTAACAAAATTATGCAATAACAACAAGGTACGAAAACAACGAGTAAACACAATGAATTCAAATAACACCAATTGATATGACACACCAAACGCATATACAAACAGTACACACAAACTCGCATTTCATGTCTTGATGGAATACCCTTGAAGAATTGCAGGACTTACACCAGTACGCCTACAAACCTTCACAGGTTGACGATTGTAAGTTGTGGAATGTCCAGACACAAACAAGATTAACCAACAATTACATCAATTGGAACTCAAACAAGTATTTAACACAAACATATGTACAATCAACACATCAAATGTTGTGGATTCTGACACGACAAACTACCCTTGAAGAACTGTAGGACTTACAGCAGTACGCCTACATTCCTTCTCAGGTTGATGATCCAAGTGGAAGTCATCCGGACACAAACAGAATTACCAACAGCTAGATGACAGATGATATCAATTCAGTATATACAATATGAACATATGTACAAAATCACACACCAAGCACATTGGACTGCTCATTGATGCGCTACCCTTTGAAGAATTGTAGGACTTACAGCAGTACGCCTACAACCCTTCTCAGGTTGACGCCCTAGGTTGGAAAATCGTCGCAGAGTTCATTTGCTAACTTTCTTCTATCAGCTATATCCTCAAATCTGAACGGCAACACGCCCATGTCATTGTATCGTAGAATATAGATGACGAACAAACACACGATATCTCTCATCAACCAAGTATAGAAACAGAGTAATTTACACCAAAGATAATAACATTCAAATAGTAACTTGAAACTGGAAATGCCTTTATTCGTGCAAGTCAATTTAACAATAACTCTCTCCTTTACACTTGGCTTATCCACACTAAACTGACCATTGATATTCGTCCCTTCAAACGAACTGATATTACCATAGTCATTGCAGAAGATACTAAAATTGATGGGCATCTGTTTCATTGTGGATGAAAACACCAACGATGACTGAGTGACACAAGGTGATGAACTTATCGGTGGATCAGAAGCTGTTCTTTTTCGGCTTTCAGATAGTTGTCCAACTGCAAGATTACCAACACTGCTGTCTTTCACTACTAGTTCGGGTTTAGCACTATCATCTGATGATAGGTGGGCTACACGCTGATCAATTACACTGACTGTCTCACAAGTATGCACATCTTCTGGAACTGCATCTGCGTTCAATTCTACTTCACGTTGTAGTTGTACAGAACCTTTATTTAACTTAGCAGTAGTAGGCATATCCCGCGTCTCATAATGATCAACCAAAGACAAATCTGCACTATCATGATCATTATCACAAATATTCAATTTACCGTCAAGTTCATCATTTTCAAACTCTTTAATAACAGAAGTAGACAATTTTGGTTCCTCCTCAAAAATCATTAAAGGTTTTATAAATTCACTCTGACTAGATATACTTTGTAAACTTGTGGAGTCAGAACTGCACTCTGAAGCAGTAACTCTATTCTGTGACACTCTATTCAACAATGGCTTACCAGTTGCAACTACAGACTTCTTCACAGCACCGTTATCGTCACACAATTCGGAGTCAGACCTGGAGTTTACATTTAGCTTATCACTGAACTTGCTCACCGGTTCACAGCTCACCTTTGTATGCACCTCTTGCACACGTGTAGAACAAAGCCGTGTTTGTCTTGCATCTTGTAACTTATCTGTTGAGGATGTACTACGAAACCTGTTACACTCACTAGGTCTATTTGCATTACTAGACATCAGGAAGCCTTCTCGATATCCACCTCTCTGAGGCCTACTCGTCATCAATGAGTGCGTTTTACCTTCAGACTGCTCTATTCTATGGGTGAGATCTAACAGACTGGCGAACTTGCTCATAGATTGATTGACACTAGTATTTACCAGTTTCAGGATATCATCAAACTTTGGCTCGATACCCTCATCCTCCATACGGGAGCTTATCTTCACCCACTTCCTTTGCAGTCGGGTAGGTAGACGTCTTGCTATTACTTCTAGTATAAAACTCGAGTTGAGGTCACTCATTCGATTCATCGAAATCATTCCATTCTTGTAAATTAGCAAATTATCTAAAAACTCAGTGAGTGCCTGCGAGTCATCCTGTAACTGACCACCATTACCCTCAACAGCCTCGAATAATTTCCC